CTGATCAGCTCAAGCAGGTTGACCTCGGCCTTGAGTCCACTGGGACGACCGATGTGGCTGGTTCCTCGATCATATATTCAGGAGAGGCACAGATTATCGCGGAATCCAGACGCAAGAAGAAAACGCAACATCTGGTTCTTACGGAGACACACCTCATCAAATTTCGCAATCAACAGGTGATAGCCGAGAATTTCCCATCATTAGCGTTAAGGCTCGGCATTTCATCGAAACATGTTACAGGTATTACAGCGGCACCGTCGACGTCAGCTAAGCGGTTATCCACAGCATCGGTTTCATCGAGCAATTCGCAGGAACAACGGTTCTCCTTCATCAACAAGACAACAGCCAGTATCCCCCTAAGAAACATTGTGGCTATTTGCAAAACCGAAGCTTCGCCTCTTTCACTCGATATACATTACTTGAATGGTGCAAAGGGAGCTCGGGTGTTTCAAGCACAATTTCCCACGGCTCAGGGGTGCGGCCTTTGGCTGGCAAACCTTCGCTCTACATTGAAGCAGCACAGGCTCACTATGGGTCTAGGCCCAACAGCGATTGAGTGTGTTGAGAATATCCTTCATAAAGAGCTTGACTGTGATCCAGACGCATTGCGCTGTTTTAGGGTCGTGAGGAAGGTCAGAAGCAAAGTCTGCGCAAAGGCGTCTATGGAAGAAAAGCTTGCACCAGAAATACACTATCTGGTTATCGGTGCTCACAAGATTCACCTTATCGCTCCCGAATACAACTCAACCGAGTGTGTGGCACAGGAATGTCTGTCCTTCGGGATCATGACTCTGACCTCAGTGATAGGGGATCAGGAGGACGATTCATTTAAACTTACTTTTCGCTTGCCTTTCCGAAAGGAACTGACCTTACACTTATCATCCGCCAGCTCATGGATGATTATGGATGTGATATGCCAACGAGCTATATTCTTACGACCACTTTGGACTAGGCAACCGTTCGTCTCCAATGTCGAATCTATCATTGATAATGAGGATTTCGTGTTCCATGGCGCCATTCGCGAAGATGTGTTTGTGCGAACACTGGTCGCTTACTGCGCAGCCTACAATGTTGACACCTCCAATATATGTTATACCATTGATTACCACTCCGAAGACTCACCATGTTTCCAATTGCAATCACCGGCGAATTCGCTTGTATACACGGCTCGTGAGCTTCTGGCTATCATGAGAGCACTACGCTATAATGACTTGTTCACCACAATCTCATTTGCTGGCATATCCCTGTATAGCTTGGAAGGCATATATGATATTTTTGGGAGTGACGGAGATACCATGAGAACCAGAGATGGTATCATGGTGGACCTTCCTGAGGAACTGAAGTTATCTGCTTTATCCCAAGAAATTCGTGCTCTGGCCTTGCAGAACTCGTCATTAAGACGAGTCGACTTCTCTCGTTCAATCTCTCGTGTGCCACGCGGATCACGCGATCGTGGCTGCGGTATTCCCCAGGCTATCTTTCCTCTTTGCAGGCGCCGTTTCACAAATATCGACTGGGTTACTCTCACTGGTATAAGATTGGGAGCCACCGATTTGGATTATATTGTAGATGCTGCCTCCACCGAAGAGGCACGTCTTCGTGGTCTTGAAATCGGCTTTTGTGGCCTGTCGCCTCGTGATGTCGACATGATTGTGTCGAGTATTTATGCTCAAGAAGACACTCTTGAGGTGATGGACATCTCAGCTCCAATAGGGCAATTGAGCCATGGGGTTTCTCAACACTCATTAAGCAACTTGAAATACATCAGAAAGCTGATTCTTTCCCGAATCCCCTATGATCAAGACAAGCGCCCGTTTTTTAATAAGGAGATTCTGTGCAATTGGCGACTCGAGGAGCTAGTCTTGAATGACACGAGACTGGACCAGTCACTTATTGGCACACTTCGAGACTATCTTGCTGATCCTTCCTCGAATACTCTGCGTCAATTGCATTTGGATCGGTGCGGGTTGACAGAACAGGATTTCGCATCCTTCACACCATACATGATAGGACATTCCGGAAACCCTCGAAATCTTCACCTTAGCCTCAGTGGGAATTATCTGCATCAGGACGGTTCATGCTTATTTGAGGCTATCCGATGCAATCATACACCAAGTCACTTGACTATACAGTCCATGGCATTTGAGGAAGAGAAGCATTTCCGCGAATTGATCGAAGCGTTGCGACAAAACCAATCATTAGAGTACCTTGACATCTCCAATTTGTCACTGCCTCATGATGTTGGCCTTGAAACATCTACAGCTTTGCGTCGTATGTTTGCAGAAAACACGACATTGAAATATTTGGACATCAGCGGTGATTCAGCTCACATGGATTCGACACGCTTCGGTATAGGTTTCAACGATGCTCTTATGGGATTGACGCAAAATAAGGCTCTTGAAGTACTCAAGATTGAGCGACAGAAGCTTGAGACGCAAGGAGCCAATTCTTTAGCCTCTGTTTTGCTCGAAAACAAATGCTTAAGAGAGATTCACTGTGAAGATAATCATCTCAATGTGGATGCATTGAGGGTTCTTGCTAATGCGCTTGCCGAGAACTACAATTTGCTCTATCTACCTTTGATGAAGAAGGACCGGGAATCGTGTATCCAGATGATCAAAAGGGGGTCATATCGGCCAGAGGTACTCGATCCAATGGATTCTGGGGCAAGTATTGCTAACTCCACGAAGCCCAAGAGATCTTTGAGAAAAACTATGGCAGACGCTGCTGGGAGCACCGCTAGTCGACTGAAGAGATATTCATACAACGCTCCGCCAACACCTGCATCTTCTGTGTCTTTTGACTCCTCAATCATGTCCTCTCGCTCACGATCAAACCCCAGCACTTCGTCTAGTGAAAGCACCGACGCCATACACACATTTGAGGAAGACTGGGATGGTGAGATGGATCGTCTAGGTAGTTATCTGCAACATAACTATGAACTGGCTAACGGGCTGGTCCCTTGGTCCAAACTCAACAGTCGCACAGCATTCAAGCAATCATCAAAAGCGTCGGATGATCGGCGACCAAGATTTGAATTTATGAAACCAGTTCATATTGACCGCGAACCAGATCCTGATGAAGAACTATCGTTGCCTGTGTCATTAAGCGAATTCATGAGAGAGATTGAATTAGAGACGGTTTTCCCTCCTCAAGAGCCTCGTTCCGAGACCGCCGACATTGCAGTTGGGACATTGCGCTCGTTAAAACACCACGAAGGACTTTCATGGCCACGAAGCCTCAGAACATACTGGCATGACTGCCGTTCGTCAGGTGATAAATTGCACCCAATGCATCATTCACGATCTTCTCCAAGCCTGGGACAGCTTAGAGAAAGGTCCCATTTTCGAAAAGACTCGTCACAATCAAGAAACAGACACAATCGCCAGAAGAGATCGTCGTCGTCGTCGTCATTTGGCGTAACTCGGTTTTGCAAGGAGCTGGTGGTTTCCAAATTACTCAACAAAAAGAGTGTAATAAGAAGAGCCAGCATTTCTCACCATCTCGGTGGAATGAGAGATATCTCGGGGCCCCAACAGCATAGGTCGAAACCTGCACAGGGTCTCATGAAGTCTATCAACGGCACGCTCTCATGATTAACAGCAGGGTCTCCATGAGCAGAATGATCATCATTGACACGAAACAGCTATTTCTTCCCTACTCATCCTTTCACAGCCCTAGATTGCATAGCATACACTTTGAAAAGAATATACCCTGTACCCTAAAGAATAGTTCTAATCTACCATTTGCTTGATCTTGTACTTTCCTCTTGTCTCTCTCTCCCTCTGGATTGTTGCAATCAAAAATCGTTTGTTCTTGCACTCCTATTGTGGGTGCATTGTGAGTAGGCCGGTAAATTATAAGGTAACAGACAAGGTGGCCGAGTGGTTAAGGCGCGGCACTCGAATTCCCTATTTCGCTATGCCGTTCATTCGTGAGCGTAGGTTCAAATCCTGCCCTTGTCGATTTTCTTTTTTTCTTTCCTTTTTGTCATATCTCTTTTTCTCTTCGTATCTTCTCTCGTCAACAAACGGTTCGAACATCAATAACATGTCACCGCTTCTGACTGCATCGAGGAATGGTGTTGACTTCGTTCAGTGATTCCTCTGGACCACAGGCAGACACGAGGACACCCAAGGGTGAGGAAAGCACGTTGGTCGATGATATCGGCCATGCGTAGATGACCAATCTATCCTTCTGGAATGCACTCAGACACCGTCATCCTCTCGAAAAAAGGACGAGTCAGTGCAACGGTGATGGTGATGGCATCGTGCGTCGACGCAAATTCCGGATTGTGACCGTGAGCATTCTCGTCTCTTGCATTAGAAAACATCTGGGGCGCAGATGACCACAGTGCCAGATTACATCATGGGATGCAAACCTCCAGCGACTGCATAGCAAACGTCCTGCCCCCGGGGGGAAGACGACAAAGCCAAGGCCACTTGCAAGGGTCCGCCCTGGAAGTGGTTGCAAGATGCTTGGATAGCAACAGCCCTTGCACGGAGGAGCATGGGGAAGGCGGCAAGTAATACTTGCCTAAGCGCTACAGGGGCTCATGATGCAAAGCCTCGTGAGAAGACGAAATCCTTCTATCTGGGAAGACGAACTCGACGCATTTCTCGCTGCCTGCTGCATCTAACGCTTCACAGAGGAAACCCAGATGTGCTAAGTGATACCAGATGCAGCAATGCTTCCCTCACCTGCAACGCAAGGAATATCGCCTATGGGCGAGCAATTGGGTGGTTCCTTTGCATCAGTGACGCGAGGCAAAGCGTCCAATTACATACTCATCCAAATAGAGCGGCTGCTTGGAGAAACAGATGCAGTCTCAATGGCCAGGGACAACTTACCAGCCATGCCCACAATCCAACCTGTGAGGACTACGCAACTCCAAACAGAAAGAAAGATGAAAGAACGCTGGCATAGCATATGCTTGACCAAGCCCGATATGAAAGTCAAGCCATCAATCTAGATTCTTGAAGGCCCTTTGCATAGCTGAAGCCCCTAATGGACGTGGTCCCACAGTCGTATGAGCCCTGCCATAGCGAGGTGGACGCAGTCCCCCGACGCTGGGCGCCTTGAATGCTGACTGCGCCAGCGCAATCGATTCGCCATGAGCGTGGCTCTGGCAAAGACTCGAAACGACAGTTCATCAAGCTGCTCTGCTCGACTTCTCTGCATGTTCTCTCCGAGGGTTTGCCTCCCTTTCCCATTGGTGCTAAGGTGTTTTTTCCCGATGCGCTCTAGGGAGTAG